CCTCCCTCCCTCCCAGTTAGACAGAGAATAAAAACCAGTTTACCTCCCGGTTTGGGTTCAGCAGCCACTGGCCCACCATACTTCTGTTAGGGTTGCAGATGGGGGGGAAGAAGTACAAATTGTATCTGCATAGAAATGTGATTTATAGAAATTAGAACCTGTTGACAGCAGGAGAAAACTTTATCGCTTTTTGGAAGATTTTCTGTGTTATTGAACATTTCTAAACCAATGTTTGATTTAGTAAAAATATTTTAATTTCAGTGCTGAGGAAACATCTTGTGAACCAGATGACGATGCACAGAACATCAACATAAAAACCATCATAAAAAGAACAACCCAGTAAATCCTCAGCAGATAAGCATCTATAATTATATCATGCTTTTAGAGCACCTTTCAGACAACTTCAGGACAATAAACAAGACAGAAGAGCAACACCTTCACATCAATAATGAGGGAGGGGTGGAGGTTCTCACAGAGTTCTGAAGAGGAGGAAGCAGATCATGGCAGAGATGATCAGCAGCAGCAGAGGAACCAGTGGCGCCACCACTACAGCCTCATCTGAGGAAGAAAAACAACCAAATATGAAACAGATCAACGTCTCTGAGAATCATGCTGGTTCTGCTCAGTTTGGCAGAATTCTGTTTAAATGACGGCAGCGCTGCAGACATCAGATTAATCAACGGATCCGGTTCTGTTTGCTGACCCACTGTTGCTCCAAACATTATTTCCTCTGAAGTTGCTCTGATGCTCATTTTTCTGGTTGGATCGTTTTTCTGGATGATTTAAAAGAACAAGCAGCTATCGCTTTAATCTGGGTTGCTAGGCTGAACTTCTCACCAAACTGGGTTTTTACTGTGGTGATGTCACGGAGATCACCATCAACCGATAGGATGAGAGAATACTCGGTGTTGGGAGTCAGGCTGGAGAAGATGTGCTGATGTAGGTCCGGCCACAGAGACACACCTAGAAAACACCAAATTCACAAATTCACAAACCGGAGGCCTGTGTATGGGAATGGAGATATATATATATATATATA